TACACCCATTTTCCACTAATTACAACCCATTCCCCATTCCATTCAAATTCAATTTTCATTTCAATTCAACCCTTCCTCTAATCCTCCGGCTCTATCGACTGTTGCCTCCGCTCCACCTACTCAACTAATGTGAAAGAAAATGTCTAAAACTTGGGTTGTAGGCGTCTTGTGATGGAGAAATTTTCTACTATTAATGCCACGGAGAGAAGAAATAAAATTTTCTTCTTTTATTCGGTACTAGAATCACCAAAAAAGGTAAGGAAATTGATTAGGTTTTGGACAAAAATGGATAGTTCTAGCTGGAGAGGTGTAGGAAACTGAGATGTACTCTTCTAGTTTCATTTAATATATTTATGTAATATTTAGGATAGAGCTATGTATTTCTTCTATGTTGTTCTATGAATTTAATCAGGGAAAAAATTACATTAAAAATTGAATTTTTAATGTTATTTTGATTTGTGTAAATTGTAATACTATTTGAATTTTTTTTCTTTTTAACTTAGGAAAATAACACTTTGCTTTCCAATTGCTTGAAGCGACACTGCCTAAATATTGCTCTTCAGTTGATATTGCTACCTGACAAACAGACTTCCAGTTCATTGCTGCCTTAGGCCCTCTGGGATTGTGAGTTGCCTATCAAGACATTTATTGTTTATTTTAGAGTGAATCTCTAATGAAGAAGTTCCTTTAAAGAAAATCTTTTGTAATAATTGTTGATAGGGAGATATTGAATCAAGTAAATTTTGATGCTGCACACCTTTCCACTAATCCTAGACTAAGGAAGAAGATGATTATCTTATTAGTGTTGTTGCTATGTCACTTTTAACGTTATCATAATATCATTAAATCCATGATAAAAAAATCCTACCTTGATTAAATTATGCCCACAGTGAACAAAATTTCTAGCTCAACCATCCCTCTTCAGAACATAATTTTACAGAAAATAATAACAAAGCAAAATTTCGGGACCTTCAAATATCACAAATCTAGGCAAATAGAAAATACAAAAACTCACACACACATGAAAACATAACTTTACAACTTGACAAATTAACCAGAAATTACCAACTAAATATCAAAACGAACAAGGACATTGAATTGAACAGCTACGTAATAAAAAAAATAGTTCGAAATGGTGGACCCACCCCTTGTATGTGAGAAGGTTGCAAGCAAAGTTGTCAAAATTATTGTAATTGTAGCACTTCTGTTCTCTACGGGAAACACCAAGTGTACATCACTTTTTGTACATTATTGTTCACAACCCTCTCACAAGTGTGGGGCTCGCGATTATTTTAATGGTATGCCCACCCCTTGTATATGAGAGGGCTATAGGCAAATCGGTCAAAATTGGTGTAATTGTAGCACTTCTCTTCTTTATGAGAAACACTAAATGTACATCACTTTTTTGTACACCTTTGTTCATAGTCCTTTCACAAGGATGGGACCCACGATTATTTTAATGGTGGGCTCACCTCTTGTACGTGAGAGGCTGTAAACAAAGCTATCAAAATTGCTGTAATTATAGCACTTCTCTTCTCTATGAGATACACCAAGTGTACATCATTTTTTGTATACAATTGTTCACGGCCCTCTCACAAGGATGGGGCCCACAATTATTTTAATGGTGGGCTCACCCCTTGTATGTGAGAGGCCTGTGAGCAAAGCTATCAAAATTGTTATAATTGTAGAACTTCTCTTTTTCTATAACACTAGCATGGAGCGTATAACTTGCCTCCTTTTTCAAGCAATCAGAAAAATTCCTTCTGTTTTAAGAATTTAGAAAAGTGCGATTTTATTTAGCCAAAAAAAATAAATCGAAAATTGGAAGAGATTTTAATTTTTAACCACACGAAAACCAAATCAGGAAGCTCATTTTAACAACACATGGAAATGGAAAGAAAAAGCTCAACAAATTTCCACAACACGCACAAGAAAGCTCAAATAAACTTGCTTCAAAGAGATTGTTAGATGCACTTTTTTTTTTTTTGGGGGATTGGACAATAAACGAAAAACACTTCACATACTCTACATCCCATCACTATGACCAAAGAAAAATAGAAAAAATTTCACAAAGTGCACCCCCACAAGCAACACAAAACTTTAACCAAATGTACACTACATGCCCCAATATGATTCGCAAAGAACCCTCGAACAATGTCATTTTAAACGATGGAGTAAAAAATATTGAAATTGTAAAAACGCGAGTAAAACATTGTAAATGACGAATATCCAATGGGCAATACCATGGGCAGAGCCCAATGAAGTCCACTGAACTTTCGTGCTCAACCACCGAGGCCCAATTTTTTAATTTTTTTTAAAATTTTTCTTTTTATGTTAATTCCTTGCCCAACCAGGCCAAGAATGGAAGCCCAATAGCCCCATCATTACATACACCCATTTTCCACTAATTACAACCCATTCCCCATTCCATTCAAATTCAATTTTCATTTCAATTCAACCCTTCCTCTAATCCTCCGGCTCTATCGACTGTTGCCTCCGCTCCACCTACTCAACTAATGTGAAAGAAAATGTCTAAAACTTGGGTTGTAGGCGTCTTGTGATGGAGAAATTTTCTACTATTAATGCCACGGAGAGAAGAAATAAAATTTTCTTCTTTTATTCGGTACTAGAATCACCAAAAAAGGTAAGGAAATTGATTAGGTTTTGGACAAAAATGGATAGTTCTAGCTGGAGAGGTGTAGGAAACTGAGATGTACTCTTCTAGTTTCATTTAATATATTTATGTAATATTTAGGATAGAGCTATGTATTTCTTCTATGTTGTTCTATGAATTTAATCAGGGAAAAAATTACATTAAAAATTGAATTTTTAATGTTATTTTGATTTGTGTAAATTGTAATACTATTTGAATTTTTTTTCTTTTTAACTTAGGAAAATAACACTTTGCTTTCCAATTGCTTGAAGCGACACTGCCTAAATATTGCTCTTCAGTTGATATTGCTACCTGACAAACAGACTTCCAGTTCATTGCTGCCTTAGGCCCTCTGGGATTGTGAGTTGCTCACTGATTCATTGGAATTTGGAAATATTATATATTGCCTGTGAAATGGTGAATTGCATTGTGAATATAATTGTGCTGTGAATTGTTGGCCAAAAAACTCGATGTTCGGTGTCGCTAAAATTGCGTCCGCACTGAACTAATATTCTAGCTCTACCCCTAAGCAATACTTTTTCTCTCAAATTAAAGGTGCGGTGCATGGATAAAGTCTGCATGGTCACCACTCTCTTCCCAAACAGTGTAAATACATGCTATAATTCTATTGTACAAGAACAAAAAATGATGTTGTCACATGATAGGGTTGAAATTAAAAAGAGAGTCAAGACACGACAAAACAACGCTGTATATGATGACGATCAAATGAACAATCCTTTGAATTTAAGACTCGTTTAAATTATTTAAGGATTTATATATGAAATTGAGATAGTTACGTTTCAAAAAATTCTAATGATGGGAAACATTTATGGTGAACGTAGGAAAAATGATAAATATATGATAAAGGCAGGAAAGAGGTGGCTAACCATATTTTGAGGGCATTGATGCCAAAAGCTGCGATTAATGCGAGTCTAGAATCTTGATCTTGTCACATTAAGGCTTGATCTTGTCACATTACGCCTTATAGAATCTTGGGTAAAATAAATGTGCTATTGTGTGCCCTCCCATAGGTTATGTATGATTCTTCCCAGTACAACCAACAAATTTTACTTCACTGTAAGAATAAGTATATTACTTATTTTCAACTTTGCATTAAAAAATATTAGTTTATAACTTACTAATTTTCCTAAAAGTAGATTTATTTATAAATAAACCTTGGAAAAATAATAGTATAAGTCCCCAAACTTTGACACAGGTTGCAACTCGGTACCATTCTTCAAAACATGGCATTTATAACATTAATCTTTTAATATTTTAGTAGCACTTAGGTCCGTAGTGGACAATTTTACTCTTACCATTAGTTAAAATTTTATTAAAAATACAGTTTTACCCATATATTCAAATAAAAAATAAGAATGAAACAAAATCTTCACCTTGCGTCCACATCAAAATGATTGTCAACAACTATGGCTTTAATCACAAGAGGAGAGTTGGGTTGTTGTGGTAGGGTGGGTTGAAGCAGAATGAAGAAGAAGATTTTCTTTATCCATTTTTCATTTATTTAAGAAAAGAGTGATATCGTCTTTTAAATTAAATTCCAGCTTATTAATTGAAGATTGTCAAATTGGGACCTTTTTGCTACTAAAAAGAAAGACCATGGAAATAAATGCTTCAAATTTAAAGATTGTGGCCAAGTTACGACAAGTCAAAGTTGGGGGGATTAGTCTAAGCATAGTCAAAGATGCTCTATATCATTTTTTTCTGGACTTGACATTGTCTCCTTGAACCTGCGAATGTTATGAACTCTAAACAGAGTTTCAAATTCAAAACCATATTTTCTATGAACCATTTGAATTCTTGCTTCTTATAATAATGTCATGAATCTAGAGAACGTTGAAATTATGTTCATTCATTTTTTCCATAATTATTTGTTCAGACAATGTTTTAGCAAAAACTTTTTCGACTTCTTTTCAATTGAAGTTTTTGGTGGAAATAAATCTTTGCACAAGTGAAGAACAAAGGCCTATATCTGAAAATGAAAGCAAATAATATAAAGAGTTCTTGGAAAAATCGGGTTTTAAGTTCCCAGAAACTGTAGGATTATATACCCAAAGGGAATAAGCCATGCACAGATGAAAAGAATAAAGATACAAATCTGACTCATCCCCAATGCAGTTAAGGCTCCACTGTTCAGTTCAAGAATAAGTATATATCCCCTTAGAGCTCAAAGAAACATGTAGTGCAGCCAACGTTAACAGCTACAAGGAAACAAATCAAAGCATGTTAACTCCAATTACAACGCAATTTTTCGACTCAAAAAGAGCCATAATGGCTATATGCAACAAGCCAAGTTCTTAGCTGATTATGCTATCTCTATAGATGCCAAAAAATAAACTCAACAGATTATTCAATCCACGTCCAAATATCCATCAAAATAGAGAGAGTTTAGAGAAACTAAAAGATCCATGATCAATGAATCAAATTATCCTCTTTCCTACTCTTTGCTTTAAATTGTTAACCACAAATCATTTCAGGTATCAGAAGGAAAAAATGCTGAAGTTAATTTTTGTATATTATACATGCAATGAAATTCACGTGACCAGGTCAGAGTAAGAGTACGTGAATTTGGATGAAATGAATGCAATTGATCCTGTGATATAACAATTCTCAAAATACAACAGTCTTGTTCCGTTCATAAGGTAGAACTCGTAGCTCACAGTATGACTTTATAGCTTTTGCAAGGCACTGCTTCTCGAGGTCCTCAGATTTCCGTATAAAACTCCGCAAATTGTCCCTGTGGGAAACTCTCTCGACCTGAAACAGGAAAGACACTATTCGGTCATCCTTAAGGATTAGCGCTTATCACCATGTAATTCTAGAATTCTACAACTCAGAAACTCAAGGTCATTCCTATCACATTTAATAGACAACCACACTGGAATTCTCAACAAACCTTTAGCTGAAACTAATGTGCCATTTCCCCGCATATCATCAATATAAATTATTTTAGAAATAATGTCTAGCTGTCATTTCACCATCAAGGTTCATATATTTAGTCAAAACATTTTCTATATATGGTTTTCGTTGTCTCTAAGCCTGCTAATTTAGCAGTACAAAACACAAGTTTTTTTTAATTCAAAATCATATTTTTATTTTTACTTTTGATGACCATGACTATCCAGACCAGCTTATGCGCACCTCGACTAATCCCACGGGATCCTGAAGTTTACAACCAGGTACTCACCTCAGTGGCCCTGAGGGAACTTGAACTGATGATCATTGGAGAGCAAATCTAAGGCTTGACCACTGAACTATCCCTCGTAGCTCATAACCTAGAACTTGTAGCTCATAGTCTTGCATAGTGCATTTTCTTAAGGTCCTGTGATTATTTGAATTCTTCTAATCAGGAATGCTAAGAATGAAAATGTTTCCATCACATGAACAAGCCAGGTACCTCTGTAGATCATGCATTATATTGGAGAAGATGATGCTTAGTGATAAACTATGGCATGGCCGACTTAAATGAAACTAAATATCTATATAAATCAAACTTTATGAATCTAAAGAACTAATCCACATTGAAATAGTATATGTTCTCCTCATATCTATCATAATCATGCTGTTTTGCAAAAGAAATGAAGTTAATGAACTTAGTTATCTATTGAGCCCACTAATACCAAGAACCAATATTTGTTGCTACTTGGTATAAACAAAGGTCAATTATAATATAAATTAAATGCATCACCCAACATTGGAACAAATACCATCTGCTCGATAATTGGCCCAGTATCAAGTTCTTCAGTGACAAAGTGAGTTGTAGCACCGATCAATTTCACTCCATAATCAAAGGCCTGTCAATAACGAGTGATGGATAGAGTTTGTATTTCAAACTTCTGAACACGAGGAGGAAAAAAAAGAAGAGATGTAACGAGTGATAATCATAATAGCAGTCTTCTAACATAGAGTAGAATCGAACATTGAAGAGATAAGTTGACAACAGTAAAAAAATAAAAAATAAAATAAATTGAACCTGCTTAGATGGATTCCCACCCTTGAAAGAGGGCAACAGGCCATGGTGAATATTTATTATATCCTTCCCGTAACTACTTAGAAAATTTCCGGAGAGTACCTGCATCAATAAACTAAATATTTTTCAAGTACAGTCGCTGCAATTGTGTGATGTAATGACACAGTTCTTTATAAGAAAGTGGACAAGTACCAAATATCGACATAACAAATTAACATGATAGTTCTGGAGTTTAAACTTTTATAAAAGGAAACAGGACAGACTCACTGGCAGAGGCCACTTCTCCCACTCATGGTGCTGGATTGACTAGAAAGACCAGAAAATCTAAAATATTGTGTCATCTTGACTGTCTAAATGCATTTATGTGTCCATGTAGCAAACCTAACAATTGGAACACTAATCATATTCAGAAAGCAAAATAAAGATATTTTATGTGTTCTATAATCTAAATGGTACATTTTAAAAGGATTGTGTTACATTTTTTGGTGCCATTTTCAAAATAAAAAAATAATAATAATTATTAGTGCCTCACATATGACCACATGTCTGCAACAACACAACCTCAGTTTGTTGTTGTTGAGCTCAAGAAACAGAAGCGGCTACAAGATAATTTAACTATGAAGAGACCAAATATCAAAGAATCTGGTTACCTGCATGTATCTAGCAAGTACTAGAAAATCTGTATCCCGAACCAAATTCAAGATCTCTTCTTCTCTTTTGTCCTCTATAGTTGTGGGCAGAAAATGGTAAGGAATTCTATGTCTTTCAAGAAATCTCATCACATGTGTGTTCGGACCTCTGTCATGATTGCTGTTAGACATGCACTTAACACTGAACAGCCGTCCCATCCTAAAGCCAAATAAAATTAAACAAAGTTCTGGTCCTCCAATGTTACCTTATTATGGCAGTGATTTGAACTGGAAGTTTTCCATCCTGCCAAACATGCAACAAATCAACAAGGCAGTGGTCCTGCACCAAATATTAATAGCTTCAGTAAATGGAAAAAAACAACATATTTTGCACAGTCCTACAACATTTAGCTAAGCAACCAAGTACAAGTTTTGAATAATTTACCTGGTTTGAAGCAAGGACTGCAATCTTATATTTGGGGTCTAGGCTGGGTACCCGAACAACAGATCTCATGGCATCGAACATCTTTGATAGCTTTAAAAAATCCTCGTCCATTTGTATCCGCGTCCATTTAGCAGGATCAAAGACAAATTCACTGAAAATTGTAGGACTTACTGTATGCAACAACTGGATACATGCAAATCACATCAAACTGACAGTATATTAAACACCTATATATCTACCACATAGTAAAGAATATCTCCAGTGCTTTTGTTTGGGAAAAATGGTGTTATGCTATGATTCAGTATATATATTTGAAAGAAGTAGTTATCAAATAAAATCTATAGCGGCATTCTCCCCTTCATGTGCCTGAGCAAATTATGTGATACCTTATGACCACTACTCCTAATTACTTAAACTTGGCCATGCACAAGCATTGTCAGACCTTTTTTGACTCCTTTGACTATCCTGCCCTTTGCTGAGGCACCTACCTCTTTTGTTTGAAGTGGCTGAATTGTGCTTAATGAATCTCCCTCAATCAATATCCTTGCTCAAAGTCGAACTGCAGGCACAAGTTTAAAACTTGTGTGGCTGCCAGCTAATGTGCATGCTCAGAATTGAAGAAAAATCTTCACCGCCATGACCATAAACAATCACTGATTCATGGAGTATTACCCCCAACACATCGTCCCATTTTCTTAAATTAAGGTCCATTTAAATTAACCTTGAAATAATTCTGTCTGGGAGCTTAATAATATGTGGGCAGAGTTGCTTGACCCAATCAACCTAGCACTGGTTGTGTCATATTTTTGTTAAACTAAGTAACCATCACTTCCAAGTCCATAAAGCCTAAAAAAAATACTATTTTACCTTTCATAAAAATCCTACAGGTATGTAAAGAAAACTATCTGCATTATCTCATGAAAGCATTTGTTAAACTGCCTAATCCAGAAACGAACAAAGAACTTCAATACCCACACCTGGCTTTCTGAAGGAAACTTTATTGAGTTTTTATGAAGAGTATTCTCCTCTTCACACCACAATGACATTCTCATCCAATTTCATCTTCCTTATAAATCATCTGGCATTACCCAGGATTGTCTATACAAACTCTCCACAAAAACCATTTAAGTACACCAAATGAACTAGAATGAACCTGCTGGTACTTGTTGACCCAGAATTGAAATTTCATTTTTGTTTCTTGGCCTGAACCAAACCATTTGGCCAGCTCATCCGATCCAGGGAATTTTGCCAACCCCTAATTTCTCCAATGCGATGCGATACTTCATCAAGATTTTATGCATGTTCTGATCCATGATTATATGTTAAACACTTTGAATACAGAAATTTCCACCACCACTACAATCGCATATTGAAAATTCTACATCACCGTTGTTATCAAAAGTGTAATGTCCTGCCCAAATATTTTCTCCACCATTGTGTTTTCCAATGCTTCAGATAGGATAAGTGAGCTGCCCATGACAATTCTTTGTAGATAAATATTTAGAATTTATTCGAACGTTCTTAACTAAACTATTTAAGTATAAATTGTTATCCTCAGCTGGCACTATGTGGATATTTAAGCAAACCAATAGCATTGGTTGCATGCAAAAGGCGGACACACCAGCATGTGTAACTATTAACTGGCATCCTTGGAAGATTCTTTGTGAGTCCCAGACCCCCACTGCAATGGACCAGGTCATGAGATGGGTGAGTATGTGTTCAAATTAAATGAGACTCAACGTGCACAACCGTTTGTCATTTAAATTAGCACGTGTGCACATCTAACAATGGAGTCCACTGTACATGAGTTTGTCATAAAAATTCTTGTTGTGCTCCATGATAGACTCATGTTTGGCCCTTATTATCGCATAAAAATAACATTAAGAGCATGTTCCAGATTAAACTACATAGTACATTAATCTTCAACATGTTGCAAACAACAATAAGCCAATCTCTGGCTCATTGTTTTGTAGGTGTTTGTAAACACCTTGGTCAAAAAACACTTTTGGTGAAATCATTTTTTATCCACAGACTTCATAGGATCCACAGATAGTAACCATCTTCTCCACTACTATTTACTCATGTTTATGAACACCTTGCCAGACGTACACTAAGACTAGCTAACACTGGATCTCTAAAATGTTTCTAATAGACTCTTCTGATCTGTTTTAAGGCTCCACAGAGGAAACATTCACAGCCAAAAATGAAATCCGTTATCCTATTTCTTGTTGCTAGTAGTATCATAGATTTTCTCTATGTAGATAACTCAAATCCACATCACAAGCAAAGCATACTGATATTTACATCTCTGGTTACCTTCTACATTCAGAGTAACATTTCAAGTTATTAACTAGCTAGCTACTTCATTGTGAATGAATATTGGGATGGATGATTTACAGTGTGAGCTGCATCAAATAACATGATTATTGTTGCACACTAGATAAGAAGAGCAGAGCATGTAAAGTTCCCAAAGAAAATTTTCTAAATCAGCTTCTGATGCAAAATAACAATTCTTCAGAAAAGGTAACTGAAAATTTCTGTAGGACAGTTTGGATGCAGTTCACCGTTCTCTCCCAACTAAAGTAGAAAAGGTAGCTTATAAACCTCGAGTTTGATACATGGAGTGGACCAGCAACATACAAAAGACAAGCATGTACAACATGTGCACATGTAAGATCCGATATCAAAGATGTTGAAGTATTTGTTAAATACTTCAACATCTTCATAAGTGTGTGTGTGTGTGTGTGTGTATATATAGCAGCCCGGAAAATTTAATAAGACCTGAATTTAGTCAGTGTACAACCTCATCTTAGTGAGGATCCATAGTTGGGAAATACTGTATCCTTATCAGGTTCTACTCTTAATCCTGACAGAATGTATATTAATTAAATTCAAAGACACAATCATTGATGAAAAAACCTTGGCATGCCAAATATTAAACCTTAATCATAAATTACCTATTTCTCTGCTATATTACAACTTCAGAAGTAGATTAATTAGCACGAGTCAAACTAAATAGTTAACATAAAACCAGAATATCATCAGAATATCAGAACATCGAACAGAGCGAGAGGGGGAACCTTCTTGAGTAAAAGACATTTTTTTTCTCCGGCACGAAAACATCAGCGCTGAGAATATTGCCACCTCTTGAAGCTATGCATTCCGCCAACTTTGCCACAATTCCCACCACATCCTATTTTATGAAAAAATCACAAATTCAAATCCCTATCTCCCTATTTCATTAAAAAACTTACATAAATTTCATATTCACTCATTCATATCAATAAAACATTTATATGCTTAAATCTGAATATAACCAGACTTACTGGACAATGGAAAACGTGAATGCCATGGATGAGAGAAGGAGAGGTGATTTCATTCAGAGATTCACCAGGAAATTTCAGAGATTTGAAGGACCTTTTTGTAAATAATTGAACTTGAGGGGAAAATCTTCGGAGAAGGCTCATGTCCGAAAAAGAAAAAAGGGAAACACCACACACAATCTCTCTGTACGTGTCTGAATGGACGAGAGCCCACCAAGAATTCAGACCTTTAGCTTCAAGCCTTCAAATCTGGGTCGGGATTGTTATTGATTTTCTCCTTCTGTCAGTTTGCGGTTGTTAGGGGTCAATCATAGCCGTTAAGGGGTGTTGATTTGGATTTGGAAGGCTACCACATTTTTGCTTTTAATGTATTAGGAAACAAATGAATAAAGATTCTATGGCAATATTTCACGGATTACTGAAGAAGAATATACAAAGAATCTGGCTTTATGTTAGCCAATGCAAGGTAAATCATTACTTTTTTATTTTTTAACAATTATATAGGTGTTCATTTATTAATGGACGCTTTATAAAGTTTAAATCATAATTTAAGTTTACTATAAATAATTTTTATCAACATTTTATAGACCCACAAATTATTACTCACTACTTAACTCACTTATCTTGTAATGGAGACATAAAGTTTTTATTTTAAACATATAAATAATACGGAGTTTGGAACTGTGATTCAAATACAAAATTTAGTACTTGTGGAATGTGATTTACTAAAAATTAATTTTTGAAATAATGTGTTCCTAAAAAAAATAACCAAAAGTTATCAATAAATATGAAAAATAATTTTAGATGAGTGCAGAAAAAAAGTGATTTCCACACAAACACTTAATATTGGAAACAAGTGCAATATATCCTAATTAAATTAAAGGAAAATAGGTTGGACGAGGCCGGGTGATCGCACCCAACCTTAAGTTTTCAAAACTGGATCTCATTCGGTGAACTGGGGCATAGCCCAATTTTGTACTGGGTAATCGTCCAGTACAAATTTTGCTTCTTTGGGGTTTTGAATTTTGGTGTCGTTTTTGTTGTCTTCACACTTTTTTGACTTGTTTTTGGCACATTTTCATGCATGATGGTTGAAATACTATATATAGGGATAGGTTTATGATGGAAAACACATCCAAAGCATCAAAGTAATTCACTTGTATCCAAATCTAAAATCGAACCAAGTTTTTTCATATTGTTCTTCAAGTTCCTTTTCTAAGTTTGTTTTTGCTTGATTTAAATTTAGATTAAGGTTTGTTTACTCCTGCAAACTAAATGTCTTTAAAAGCCTTCAAGCATGATCTCGATAAAATATTGTTTGAAGATAGTGATTCATAATCGTGTTCAAACCTCCCATTTTTTATGGATTATTGTTGTTGGTTTTTTCTTGTACTTCAACTTTATACAACAATCTCAAACGATATTCTCAGTATGGATAACGAGAACATGGCTACACTAAAGATGATGAATCAAGACATTGTGAGGCTTTATAGATTCTACTGGTCGAACTTTACAAGATAGAAGGACAAATTGAAGTTTCTTCTCAAACTTTGAAGATCTTTTTACATATTGGATCCGACATTGGAACCATTGTCAAAGCCAACCCCGAATGCCACCAACGAAACAAAGGCGGAAAGGAATGAATAGATTACTTTGACATGTATGCACTGGTTGCATAAATGACATCAATTAAGATTTTATTCGCTTTAGGTTTTATCTATGATTTGTATATATATCAAATGAATGTTAAGACAACATTCTTAAAGTGAGACCTCGATGAGGATGTTTATTTGAAATCATAAGAAGATTTTGTTCTACCCGAAAATGAGCATAAAGTATGTAAATTAACAAGATCCTTATATGGATTGAAATAAGCTCTAAAGAAATGTCACAAAAAGTTTATATTCAAAATTTGTAACAATCATATTGTGCTCATTTGCGTATACATGGATGATATGTTGATTGTAAGTAATCAAATGCAAGGTATAAATAACACAAAGAGGTTTTCTATCTTCCACATTCAAAATAAAATTGTGTTGGTCAAGTAGATACCATACTAGGTATCAAAGTCATCAAGATTAGTGGGGGTTATATGTTGAGTCCATTACATTATGTTGAGAATGTGATGAAAAAGTTTAATCACTTGAACATTAAAGACGTTAGTACTCTATTGGAACCAAGTTTGAAACTTGTTAAGAGTGATGGAAGAACAATAGCACAACTTAAAGTATGCAAGTGCTATAGGAGAATCTCATGTATGTTGTGCAATGTACAAGACTCGACATAGCATTTAAAATTAGTGATCCTAGTAGGTTAACTAGCAATCCCAATGTGAACTCACGTAGCAATGGAGGCAATGAAACTCACAGGAGATTGAATCACAACCCAAGAAAGCCAAGAAACCAAAGTTTTGAGTTCGATCCACAAATATTGAACTAAGCAACAAACAATTGTCGATAATATGTTGACTTCTTGATCGCAAGACTTGAAAATCTCACCCAGAAAGTCGGAACACCACAAGAATTAAAATCTTGATAAGTTCATAATTTGTTCAACGAAGAACAAGGATTTGAAAGCAATAATAGCTCACAAAAATAATCTCTCAATTGAATTGAATAATGAATGAATTTACAATGAAATAATGAGTCATATATATAGGAAACTCATAAAACCCCAGTCTACACGAATTTAATATCTAAAAAATACAAAAGTTACCAAAAAATAGAATTCTAACCAAAATAAAAGATTACGCGAAATTGGAAAAATCGCATCAAGAATTTAAACTATATGGTTATATAGTGTCACACCATGCAGTCACATAGAACAAGTTGAAATCTCCATATTGGCCTCGGTAATTGGTTATGCGATTGCATCCCTTTTTAAGCTATGCAATCGAATAGCTTTAATAATGACTTCTTTTTTTACGTACAAAATTTTGCGACGTTTTCATATTGTACTCATAGACAAAAATCTGACATTCGAGCAGAAAGTTATGCATGTTTTTATCCACGTCACTCGTTTTTCTCATATATGTCCCAAAGATTGAATCCAATGCACCAAACTTGACCCCACCTTCATGTCTAACATATAAGTTATTATTTGGCTTGTTGCACTCGAAGGCCTTCGCTTCTCAGACAACTCATTCCTTGGCCAACTTGATCCTCCATAGCTTTTGATCTTATCTTTGGTTACTCTTCAAGTTGAGCTGGATCTTTGTAAATTTTTTGTCTTCCTTGGATCACATCATCCTCCCTCTCTTCAAAAGGATTCCACCTCGGATTCGTACCTTGAAGATCCAAGTTATATCCATTGTCCTCAATCATGGAAATGACATGAAATGGTCAATCGCCTATATGATGAAACATTGACCTTCTTTGCAATCGAGCATGCCACTTTCTCCTACGCGGCCAAACCTAATCACCTAGTTTAAATACATTTCACCTTTTTCCTTGGTCACCTTGAGATGCTTATAATTCGATTTCCTTGTCATAGTTGAATACTTCTCTTTCAATTATCATCAAATCCTCCACTTGCATCAAATCAATTGGATAATCAATACATGGTATCCCCTCAATCAAGCCTTCCTGGAACAAGTCTTCCTATAATAAAGAGATATCCAAAATGGGGAGGGATTTGTTAATCCTAACCACAGCACTCTCAATTTCACTCTTTTTTACATCGAAGCTCGCTTTGGATTTTTCTTTCCTCTCAGAAAAATCTATTTCTTTTCTCTCTTGTGACCCTACTCTTTTTTCTCACACTTAGCCATCTCACCATTTTGTCTCTTACTCTCATTTTCTCTTTAGTTGCTTTTTTTTCCTCCTCACCTCTCAACTTCAATTGGTCCTCATAGATCTATTGTGTTATGGGTACATGAGTAACAATTCTCTCATGTTTTACAAAGTTGTACCTATTCTTGAATAATCATGTTTCATCTTTCTATCATATTGCTATGGCCTATCTAGCAAAATATGCCCAGCATGCATATGAACTATATCACACGTTACGTCATCACTATACTTTCCAATTGAGAAATTCATCAAGACTTGTCTATATACCATAACCTCTCCACAATCATCTAACCACTGCAATTTATAAGGTTTAGGATGTTTTGTCGTAGTCAACCCTAATTTCTCAACAAGTATAGTACTGGCAATATTAGTACAGCTACCCTGTCAATAATCAAACTACATGCCTTGTTTTTGACATGGAATTTGTTATGAAAGATGTTCTCCCATTGCTATTCCTCATCATCCACTTTGATTTGTATACTGAGAGCACGCAACACCACAAGTTCTTTCCCTATGACCAAGTACTCTACGACATCACCATCGTTAGCATTCTCTAATTTCGGCATCTCATCTCGATTACTATCACTCATATTTCCCATGGACATACAAGATCATTGCCCTTTTATTCGGACATTGAGAATCAATGTGTCCCGATTACAAGCACCTAAAGCATTTGATATCCTGATTCCTAGAATGTTGGGAATCTACCTTGGGTACAGCTTTGCTAGCAACTTCTTCCTTTCCACTTGGTGGTTTAGACTTACTAATTGCAACAACCCCATCTGCTCTATTATCATCCCACTTCGATTTCCAAGAACGATTAGAGCCCGATAGATACCTTGTTGTCCCCTTTCTCTTCAATTGCCTTTCCACCTTCATAACCACGTCTAGCATGTCTTCCAATTTCACATAGTGTTTTAACTCCACTACACTAGCTATTTCTCTATTCAATCCATTCAAAAACCTAGCCATTGTGGCTTTTCGATCCTCCTCCACATTTGTCCTGATCATCAACATCTCCATCTTTTTATGGTAATCCTCCATGCTCTAGAACCTTGGTAGAGGCCTTGTAACTTTTGATGTAGCTCCCTATAATAGTGACTAAGCACGAACCTCTTTCGTATGATAGCCTTCAATTCGTCCCATGTGTTAATTAGCCTCTCACGATTCTTTCTCCTTGACATGACCACTTGATCCCACCAAGTTATTGCATAATCGGTGAATGCAAGGACTGTTATTTTCACCTTCTTTTCCTTTGAATAATTGTGGCAATTGAAAGTCAATTCTACCATTTTATCCCACTCTAGGTAAGCTTCCGGATCACTCATACCCTTGAATGTAAGAATTGTCATTTTAATATTACCCACACTTCCATCCATTTTGTCTTCAAAGAGATTCCGACCCATCTTTCAATGCTAGCTCCTCTATTCCCCATTCTCCATATATCAGCCTCAACTAATGCATCTTCATCTAAGTCACTACCGTCATCATATTCTACCCAATTCTTCATCCTAGGCTCTCGCCTACCTTATCTCCTGGCATTAGATGCTCCCTTTTGTAGATTGGCAAGCACTGGAACCTTTTCATCCATGCCTCCTGCCTATCCAACCTATCCCGCACATCTTCAAACAATCTT